TGGTAAAAGTAAGACTTCTCCGGGTTGATAAAATTGCAATATAAAAGATGTTAAAAGTATGACTTTTCAAATAAGGTGTAGCAAATATTAGGTCCTTAATCCTTACAGATGTTGCTTGTAAGCAGGGTCAGTGAGAAGTGAATTCCTTATCACTGTGGGGTGTCCGATAGCACCTATTGCCCAGCAGTTGCCTTAGCAACTGAGGACAAATTTCTAAACATAACCACTAATGAGAATAGCAGGGACACTAATACACTGAGTGGCCTCAGCTATAATATATACAGTACAGTACATATACCAAAGTTAAAACTTAAATGGAATAAAATAACGTTTATACCTTACAGAGTGGCAAATAATATCAAATTTAAAGCTTTTAAATGAGTAAAAATTTCACAGGGTTACAACCTCCCCTCTTGAACTCTGCGTTGTCCCTAACGCACCAAGAGAATTTCCAAGACTGTATAGACTAGTGGCTATTCTGCTGTACCAACACGGGTTTCCGAGTTGATCATAGTTGAGCCGAGGTTGAGCAGAGGTACTTGGCGACGTCTGGTTGGTCGTTCATACTGACTTGTACTAGATTCATCAGCATCTACAGTCATATTATCTTCATTTGCGACTACCTCCTCGACTTCTTTTGTGGCAGCATCTTCTATACTATCTATATCTACAGTTGATACAATAGGCTCATTACTCTTATCACTGCTATCTACTTTACTTGCTCTTTCAATGGTTTCTGTGGTAGGTTCATCAGGTAATGGATTGATATTAAATCCAGGTTCCAACTGCATAGGAATTTCATCTTCACTAGGATCTACGGTGATTAATTTTATGAGAGTCCGAGGGCTGTATTCAGGAGTATCAATATTGGGAAAAGTAGAGGAAGATGATGTTGGTGTCTCTGGCACAGACAGTGCTGTGGGTGAACCAGTTGCATTGGTAGACTCCATTTCAGAGGAATAATCACTCTGTACAGGAGGCACATTGAAGCCAACTGACTCTTCGTCTGGACTGGACTGGTCACAAAGTATCTGCAGGCTTTGATATAATAACATCTAAAACAGATTCATCTTCATCATCTGAGCTAGAAATGTATTCTACCTCGACTCTTGTCTGCGTCTGTGATCGGGTCTTTGGTCTGGTAGGCTTTAATGGAGCTGGTGTTGGTTTATCCATTCCTGTTATATAACCTACTGGTAATATATGATCCCGATGCAATGTTTTAGCTGAATCATTTCCTTTTTCAGGTTTCAGCCTGTAAACTGGTATGTCTGGTAACTTTTCAATGATGATAAAAGGTTCAGATTTCCAACGGTCAGCCAATTTATTCTTCCCTTTAAGGCCTAGATTTCTAATTAACACTCTGTCTCCTGGCTGTAGCACAGAATTGGTTATTCGAACTTTCTTGTCATATCTTTGTTTGTTGGCAGCTCCAGACTTTTCAGATTCGGTTCTTGCCAAATCATAAGCTCTTTTAAGACCATGACGAAGATTCTCCACATATTTACTGTGAGTGTGATTGGAGTTGCCATTAGGATGTAAATCAAAACAAATATCAATCGGCAAGCGGGCTTCTCTTCAAAACATGAGGAAGTAAGGAGAGTATCCAGTGCTATCATGCTTGGTACAATTGTATGCGTGTACCAGGGCACTGACATGCTTGCTCCAATTAGTTTTCTTTTCACTCTCCAACGTACCAACCATATTTAACAGTGTCCGATTAAACCTTTCCGGCTGAGGGTCTCCTTGTGGGTGGTATGGAGTTGTGTGTGACTTTTTGATGCCCAAAAGACTTGTAAGTTCTTTAATTACCTTACTCTCAAACTCCGGTCCCTGGTCAGAATGGAGCCTTTTCGGCAGTCCGTAGTATGAAAGTACTGTTGCCATAATACTTTTGCAACGGTAAAGGCAGTCTGATCTTTGGTTGGGAATGCCTGAGCATATCTGGTAAAGTGGTCTGTTACTACTAGTATTGACTTCTTGCCACTACCATCAGGTTCCAAGGAAAGGAAGTCCATACACACTAACTCCATAGGTCCACTGGTCACAATACTATGTAGAGGTGCACTTTTTGACGGCAAAGATTTTCTGGCTAGGCAACGGCCACAGTGTTTGATCCACTCTTCAATATCCCTTGACATTTTTGGCCAGTAGAATCTTTCTCTAGCCAGCGCTACTGTGCGTTCTATGCCATGATGACCCAAATCATTATGTAGCATGGTTATGGCCTTAACTCGATATTTCTTTGGCAAAAGTAGCTGTTCCATTTTGCTCTGTAGCAATACTGCACCTAGCCCGTCTCGGCACGCATCCACATGAAGCACAAATGGCTTGCTTAGGTCAGCATAAGCCAAGACAGGTGCAGACGATAGCTTGGTTTTAAGTTCTTCAAAGGCCTTATTACATTCGCTGGTCCACAGGTTAGCAAATGGCTCTGAAGACTTCCTCAAATTAGTGTTTTGTACTCTTCTGTTTGGTTTACCACGTTTAGGCGCAAAGGCATACTTGCTGGCTAATGCATGGAGAGGAGCAGCAATTCTGGAATACCCCTCAACAAATCTTCTATAGTATCCGGTCAAGCCAAGAAAACTTCTTAAATCTTTGGCTTGTCTGGGGGTAGGCCATGACTTTACACTGGATACCTTTTCAGGATCGGTCTGGATTCCATTTTCGCTTACAATATGCCCAAGATAAGTCACGGACTTACAGAAAAATTTACATTTTTCAGGTGAAACCTTGAGTCCAAACTCTTTTAAGCGGTCGAGAACTTTGGTAACACGATGTTCCATTTCCTCTACCGTTTTAGAGAAGATGATGATGTCATCCATATATACCAGGGCTTCGATGAAATTCATCCCCGACATACAAGATTCCATCAGTCTTTGAAAGGTTGAGGGTGCGCCCTTGATCCCCTGTGGCATTCTCTCAAATTCATAAAATCCAAGTGGACATGTGAATGCAGTTTTCTCCTTGTCGGTCCCTCGCATTGGAATTTGATAGAATCCTGACTTAAGGTCAATGACGGAAAACCACTTTGACCCACTCAGGCAGTCTACTGCGTCTTGGATCAACGGCACTACATATTGGTCAGGAACAGTCCTTGAATTCAGTTCTCTATAATCTACACACATCCTTAAAGAACCGTTCTTTTTTCTCACTAAGACAATAGGAGATGCGAATCGACTTTTTGATGGTTTAATGATACCGTTATTGAGAAGTTCTTGAATGTGATTCTGTAAGTCCATCAGGTCACCTGGGGGTACTCTTCTTGTTCTTTCTCGAAAAGGTGTTGAATCTGTCAGGTTTATTTCGTGTTGCGCATTAGTGGTTAGGCCAAGGTCCCATTCATGTTTCGCAAACACATCCAGTCTTTCCTGAAATCTAGCTAACATTCTGGTTTTGACCTCACTAGGAATATCTGGTCCCCATTCGAATGGTAGTTTACCAACATCCGAGACATGACAGGAAGCATTGGTTGGGGAACTTGAAATACTACTTGGAATTGTAGCCTCCGCTAAAATAGTTCCTTTATATATACATATGTCTTGATTACTGTCGTTTCTAACATCAATATTTACACTAATACGTCTACCTCTAGGTAATGGTTTTATACAGATAGTGGGTTGCAATTTTGCTTTAACTTTATGATTGGAGTCTATTATGACGGTTACTTCACCTGGGCGTTTTCTGATTATACCCTTTACTGTCTTTGTGCAACCAGCATGAATAACAACAGTACCTGCAGACTTTATTATCATGGGTCTGTCCTGATCATCTGCACTGCGGTAAATAGCTGCACATCGGGCACTAATGTGAAGTTTTCTTAAATATTGGTTACCAGCCTTCTTCTTACACTCCTGGCGAAGTTGGTTGAACAGTCCGGTATTGGTGCCAATAATTACCTCATGTGAATTAGGAGTGTCAGGAACTACCAGAACCAGAGCTTCAAAATGTTTACTAGTTCCAGCAAATGAAGATGGAAACGCAATCCCAACCTTGGTCCAGCCAAGGTATGGGATCTTGCCTCCACCACCATGCCAGAGGACTAGGTCCGTTAATGGAAGTAATTTCTTCTTTAGCTTCTCAAATACCGAATTATTAATGGTTGTAACTTGCGAACCACTATCTAGAAGGCAACGCTGTTTAAAACCATCGATGAAACATTCTTCTGTGACACTTTCTCCCACCAGTCCCAGAGGAATGTCACCTAAGGGTGGGGCTAATCCTGCTTGTTCGACATCTGTTTGCCCCTTCTCAGATGTCCCTTGGCGTTTCCCTGCTGGTGAAGATGACTAATTAGTTTTCCATTCACTAACGCCGCATTTGCTTGGTTTGCACAACTACGCTTCATATGTCCATCTTGACCACAGTTGTAGCAAAACCTCGGAAGATCCAAGCTTTGGTTGGTTCGCCGTTCTCTACTTGGAGGCGGCTGACTTTGTTGTTGTTGATTTACATGAGCGTTACCTAATGTAGAATGTTTCAACATCTTTTCGATTTTGCTCATCCTTTCTGCTAAATCATTGTTGCTGACAGTATGTGCTGCTGCAACAGAATTTCGGCTTTGACCCTTAGCCTTTTCTTGTTTATTTGACGTCTCTTCCTCCCATCGCCTGACTTTACCTAGTAGAGTCAGGTATGTTGGTGGTGTTTCGTGAAGCTCTCTTAAACGGAGGTCTACTAGCAGCAGTGGCTCATAGATGATTCCTCGAATGAACTGTTTTAGTATTACAGCATTCATCTTATCTTCTGGAATACCACCCTTCTGCAGAACATGTCTCAGGGCTCCCTGTAGACGACTTAGGTAGTGAGAGGGTGTCTCCCCTGCTTTTTGTTCAATGGCAAAGAATTGGTGGAACAACTCTTCACCTGTCAGTGTAGATCCATACACTACCTCTAGGGCTTGGAGATAGTCCTTCGCCGTAGCTGATGGATTTTCTCTCCGCAGGTCGTCGATTACTTCTAGGGCAGGAGAGCGCAGCGCCTCCCTTAGTCGTCTTCGCTTTTCAGCTTGCGACACCTCGGTTTCAGCTTCTTCTATGAGGGCTTTTGCCTGTGTTTTCCACACATGATATGGATCCTCGTCTTTTCCGTGCACGGTGCTCCCAGAAAATACCCTTAACTTTCTATAACTTATGGACAAACGTGCCACATCTAGTAGCTCTTTCTGAGATGATGCCAGAGTTTGATTGGATGGGGCAGTGGATGTGGACGGCCCTGGTTGAGGATTGGCTGTGATTATAATAGGGGTGAATTCAATAAGGTCACTCTTTTCAGAGACTTCAATGGTTTCAGGAATGGTTAAATCAATTGTCTTCACAGAAAGTCTGGCGAGAACGAAAGTTTTCTGTAAATCATGCCTATCGACCTCATTCCTTCTCTTGACCTCCTCCACTGGCAAAGCAGCACACAACTTTATAAACAGCCTAGAAGTAGCCATTTTTGTTCTTGGTGCTAAAAGTAAAATACATTTATCAATGGGGTAACTTACACTATTGGCCCAATCAGTTGCATATTCTACTAATTTTGACATCTTGGCTCTTAATACAGCTAAATAGAAATAAATAAAACTCTTAAATACACTATAATACCAAAGAATGAATTGTGTAAATATACAAGACGAATTCCCGGACGAGCCCCCAATTTGTAACCCGAGTTTCCTTGAAAAACCAAATATTCCAGGACAATATTACAAATAAATAATAATCCAGGAAGACGCCTTGTTAAAATATATATACTAAGTATTTATTTGAAAATAAAAAATGAATTGGTGAGATTTGATTTCACAATATGAATAGAATCTAGGTTGCGCAAATTCTTGATCGCGAAATTGTTCTTTCTTGTCCAAGTGTTTCCAAAAGAGTTTTAAAAAGAAGTTCAATGT